CTTCACGTCATCCTCTAATGAAGTGTCTCCTTGCAACGCATTGTTTGGACGGCAACCAGCAATGCTCCCTGACCTTCCTGTTCTGGACCACGAGCAGCCGACAGAAGCATCAGATCATTCTCGTGAACAGACGATACGCAAGGTATGTATTGAAGCGATTTCACAGGCCACGGCAGTAGCCAAGACCAATCGTGCTCTACGCACTAAGACGACAATTACAGGTCAGCACTACTATGACGAAGGAGATTTGGTCGACTACCATCGCCCTACGACTACTACAGATGACTGGGGAGGATGGAATGGCCCGTTCCCCGTCGTAAAGAATGTTCCCGAAAGGGTTCAGTTCATCATCCGAGTAGGCAATCGAGATGTTCAAGTACAGTACGGCGATTCAAGACATTCGCTCTGTATTAAAGCACTCCGACAAAACTGCACGACGCACAGTGTTGACGTTCGTAGCCAGCCTGTCAGCGGGGAGACCTGCCCTGACATTTGGTTGTGTGCCGGTCAAGGAAGGTACGCTTCAGATGGCATCTTCAAGTCGTCTATCCCCAAAGGTACACTTGGCCCTACAATATATCATCATAAACTTCCTTTCGCATCGAGAACGTAGTTTCAGTCAGATTAGCCGAGAGTATTCATAAGGTACCTCCGGTTACTCATGCCGACAGCTGCACATAGGTCCATTACGACAGCGACGTGAATCCAGGGTTCCACTACTACGAAGCAGAAGGTACCGCTTTGAATATACATGACTTAACTGGATCAACACATTCACGAATCATCCAATGCATGAAGTCCACTAAACCTCTGGCAGGCTTCGATCAGGCCATGTCAGAGTTTGAGGACTTGGCTGATGCGCCGACACCAGCAGGAGCCACAAGAGAGGCTTCAGAAGCCGAACCAGAACATGATGACGGACGGCTGTCTACGATCTACGATGAATCACATGCTATAGAGGTCGGCACGCAGAACTGCGAGAGGAAAGAGAATTGCTGGAGGCAGCTCCACTAGAAGACTCCTTCACCGTGCCCACGCAGATGGTTCCTGATCAGATTGCGCTGATCACTGTAGCCGATGAACAGCGAGAACAGTTTCCGAAGTGGGGACGCACTCGCGATCCCGATACCGAGGAGACGTACTACGCCCCCCGTGTGCACCATGGCCGAAGACGACCTCTACGGACTCGACTCTGACGAAACGGTCGATACGTTGAACTGTGCTTTACGGCAGAAATGTCAAAGGTAGTCTTGTCCGAGCAGCAACGCATGTTATTAGATGCCGACCGGGTGACCACTATGCGAGTATATGTTACCGCCGCTGCAAAGCGAGCTGCGGTCGTCAAGGAAGACGACCTCCTCTCCAAAGCTGACATTCAGGCGAAGCCCGAGAAAACATCGAAGGCCCTTTCCATTGAGCTCAATGCATGGTTCGACAACAAGTACTTTAAGATGCAGGAGATAGCCAAAGCGCCGAACATCATGACTTCGAGGTATGATACAAATCAAAATTCGTGAAGAACGACAAGGGCGAGATGGAACGTGCCATCCGACTTCGTTCGGTACTTCGAAGCTTCATGGGCCTTGAAGCTTTCGACGTAGAGACATTGTCGGGAACGGCCAGTGGGTCCTTGCTTCCCTTGACATCAACATGGCCTTCCTGAAGGGATTGACCTATCGGGAATTCGCTCAGGCAACTGGTGAAAAGGAACGTGTGGCGTGCTTTACTTTGCCGCCTGGATCGGCAACTGCGCTCCGTACTCTTCCAGGATCTGAGAAATGCGACGAGTCAAAGCACTGTCTACAGTGCTTGACACCGGGCACAGGCACTAAGGGCGCCCCGCGAGCTTTCTCATTTAAGCTCAGGAGAACCACCGGAGGATTTGGCGTCCGACCCACGTCTTACGACGAGGGGTTCGAGACGAGCAACGACCTGCTCACGGCCAAGCATGTTGATGACATTAATATGGCCGGTACTGAGGACACTATTGACAATAATGACAAATGCGTTGAGAATGCCTTCGGTAAGTCGGCAATGTTACTCTGGGCCAAGATGCATATATCAGACAGCTCCGTCCAATGCAACATCCTGAATTGACCGGTGCTGACGCTGGCGCTCAAGCGACCAAGATGGTGGCAGACATGTTTGTCAGCCTCAGAGGTGCGCTTGCATACGCCCCGATCACCCAGGCATGGTTGTTGGTATATGCTGCATCCCTACAGCGCGTCCAAGAATCGACCAATATTCAAGTGCGACGGCAGAGCGCGATCACTAGAAAGTTACAGGCCTGCCCGAAGAAGATCGTCTACCAGGCGATGAACCCCGCGGGTGAGGTCGACTTACATAGCGACTCAGGTTATCGACGCCTGAGTGGAGACGCCGATGACGACGTCAAAGGCTATGGTATTCGCGGGGCAAACCTGCTGCGACGTGGAAACACATCATCTGGCAAACCTGTCGTTCACTTGATTGATGCGCGCTGCAAGTCTCACCGCTTGCAAGTCCGCTCAAGCGGCTCAGCAGAGACACTTCCAGCAGCCCATACTTTGGAGGACTGTTATCCCACGACAGCGACTCTGCACGAGCTCCACGCGGGGCCGCTCACGCCCACTCAGTCGAAATATGTACTTGAGCTGGGTGGCCTGAGCATCAAGGTCACTCTGACCAACGATGCGGAGTATGTTTTTAAGTCCTTGCCAAGCAAGGACTTGAAGAAAACGATTGTGTGTACATTTTTAGGACACATCAGTTGGATACGACAGATGATGGAGCGTGGAATCGTGCATAGCATTCAGTGGTGTGAGACCCGCGACATGACTGCGGATGGACACACCAAGGGGGGCATCGACAGAGAGATGGTCCTACAAGTCATGGGAGGCTTACAGACCTTCAAACATGACCTGAAGAGACATACTCCATATCGGGCCGGCCAGACAACAAACTCCCAGGCCGCCTGATGAGTACGTTATACATATGCGAGGCAACTTGCTGGCGGGTCCACCCCCTTTGGGCCCGTCTCTGTTCCTGTCTTTGTATAGGTTAGCTGCTGAACTGTTCCTGTTATACGGGCGGCGGACGCACGCTTTGTCTCCTTCACCCCCCGACTCTAAAGCAAGCTGGGGGACGTAAGGAGTGGAAGCGAGCGTGCGCCCACGGCCGCCTTGGCTCAAAGCGGCCGGCCGCCCAGATTTGATTGTGCCTCACCGCGAGGCACACAACCGCTATCGAGACCAAAATCCTCTCTTGCTTGAGATGGCATCTCCTCTTGCAATGGGACTGTCGCTACTACGATACAACAGAGCAGGAGCTTGGCTTCGCCTGAGGCGACACTGTTGGCTTGGCGTGTCAGCCCCCTTCAAACTCTAAAATCATACGTTTTCCCAAGGAGATGGGACGATGGTTGCTTTTGGGGGCCCTCTTGGGGCGCCTCTTGGGGGCCTCTTGGGCCGTCTTGGAGCCATCTTGGGCGTATTGGAACGATCCATCGGCGATTTGGGGCCCTCCTGGACCATCTTGCGGGCCTTTTGGGACCCTCATGGCCCGTCGTGAGGCCCGTGGTGCGTTCACCACGGGCCGGCTGGTTTCCCCCCATCCAAAACGACCGGACCGGGCCCTGGGGGGAGGGGTTTGGGGAGGGGGAAGCATGTCACACGCCGATGACCCCAAGGGGTCGGCGGATATTACGGTTTGTTTACATGCCCCAGAAACCGAAATTTGTCGTCGTGCTTGTGAGATGCAGCGTGTACGCTTCGAATCAGAATATCGGTTTGCATTGTCATTGAGTTCGCGAGCCACGTCTTGGACGATAAGGTGTTAATCCACCAGCTTGAAACGTTGGACATCGAATTTGAAGAGTTGCCAGACTTCTTACGCGCTTGAATAATGCCACGCCGCGCATGGCGTATACGTGCATCCAGAAGTAGGGCAGATGTGCAGAGTTTAGTTGCACTGCATTTAGTGTGTTGGATGCCAGCATTTGCACATGATGTTAACGGTGACGCGTGCTTTATGTAATGCCGCATATCTTCACCGAAGCACTTGTAATGATAACCGCTGTCATGATGAGAGCATACCGATTGCCCAAATGGAAGCTGCGCTCGTATCATCTCCAGGACACTCAGAGTAGCAATTTCATACTTAGGATCGGCACTAAGCGAGCCATGGCCAAAACCATATGTAATACCAACAGCCGTATAGCTGCATCAGCGGCAGCCCGACCTCACGTGACAAGCGGTACCAGCAATGTAGGTCTACGTCATTGTCGAACATGCGAGTTTGAAGTTTCCGAACAGCGCGGCGACCGATGCCCCACACGAAGAGGTGGGGCAGCGCAGGGGCAATAACAGATGAATAATCAAGGTTACATAAGCGAGAAAAGTTGGTTCGGAGATGTCTTCGATATCCTCTACGCGGTGATAGTCATGTGGTTTTGGGAAGAATCGTGATGTCCGATGTCGTTGTTCATTGATATATCCGTGCTTGTCACCGACCGTCCTCTCGCCATCGTGTCCGCACTTCCTACATCGGCAACCACGTGCCGCCCTTTTCATCCGAACGGGTACCCCCTATACCCATATAAGAGATGCATGTTGTGGCTTCGGTATTTCAGCTACGCAGGGTGTGCTCTAGGTCGATTTTCTTACTAGCTTGTGTCTAATACACTTGGCCATCGCACGCTAGTATACCTTTCATACTGGAGCGCAAATGTATGCAACTTAGTTTGCCATTTACGTCTTTCCAATGGCGGTGTGAGTGATGGGCAATTGCAGATCGTTCACGCTCATTGTCTATTTCCGCCTCGAGGCAGGAGGACCCCGACCGACCGCATTGTTGGATGAGCGCAAATTAGTGGTGTGGTATGGTCCCATGGTTAAGCTTGCACATGCTAGTAGTAGAAGGTCAGTGAGGCGGAGTATGAGTTCCAGCAGTTGCAGCACTTGGGGTAGTAGTAGCAGCAGTAATGGTTGAAGATGCATTGGTAGCAGCAGCCGTGCCACGAGGAGCACCAAGAGCTTGCGCGCCATCGCTGCATCCAGCGCTGGGAGCAGCAGTGGTACCGCTAGTGCCAGCAGCAGGCGATGTAGCATCAGCAGACACATGAACAGCAGTAGCAGATACGCCAGTTGTCGTGGCAGTGCTTGCTGTAGAGCGCCATTTGTAGCAGGAAGGACAGGACAACATTGGTCTTTCCCAGCCCTCCCACGATCCGCCTCGCGCCTCGCGCCCGCGTCCCCGGCCGTGAAGCATGTCGATTGACCCGCAGGTGTCCACGGAGGAATTCTGCACCGAGCTGTTGCGAATGCAAGGCACAAGGTCACGCCAGGAGCAGAGACATGTTAAAGGCCGCAGGGGGCCGGGGATGAGGTTAATGAGGTTAGGACCGACGTATTTTCTCTGGGTGGTCCTTAGCCTTTTGCTTCCCTCGTCAGCACACAATGCGCGACCCGGAGGTATCATAACCATGAACGTAAAGTTATCAGAACCATGAGCGTAAAGATGTTTTGTCGGGATGCTGTCCGCTCCCTCTCGCCCCTCCAAAATCAGAACCATGAGCGCAAGGCAAACAGTCAGGTCGCAGCGGGCGAAAGCAGGGATTTTGTCCAGAGTGGCACTCCGCCGTCCCATCACCCCGAGGCTTCTAAACGTGCCCAGAACGTGATGAAGTGGTATATCGGAGGCCACCGGCAGCAACCAGAACTGCGGTCGCGTCCGAAACAAACAAGGAGGCCGAGTGTGTATGCGCATCACGCTGGCCCTGAGGCCAGCGACGCCCGAAGGGCACTGCGCACTCTGGGTGAAGGCGTTGCGCTGCACCAGGGGGGGATCCGGCGACGAAGGAGCTGGCCGAGGAGCAGAGGGGAGGAAACGGGGAGAGGAGCGAATGCTGGTAGTGCGTCTTCACATGCGAGTCTGCAGGTGAGGGGATGCGTCCTCCTGCTCCTCGTCAGGCTTCCTCTGTTATCCCACTGATGCGACGACCACAGAACCAGATCCAACGACCAGTTGTTCCCGGGCGGTCCCGCATTCTGTGATCCTGAATCTTATGGTTTCTGCTTGAACGATGATTCCCTTGTCTTCCTTCCTCTTCCGCCTCACCCCCCCCCTTCCACCTCTCTTCTTCCTCCTTCCTCCAGATGAGGGGAGGCATCTGGACAACGGGCTGTATGCTGAACTTGCGTAGGCGCCTCACGACATACGTCGTCGTTGCGACCCACGGGCGCTCGCCGCGCAGCGAGCAAAATGCCATGTGGTCTTGTGCGGCATGCCTCCTCACTCGTATCCCTCTTCCCTCATCGTCGTCATTCATGGTCTTCCTCCCCCGTCTTCCTTCGACTACATTCCAGCTCGTCGTCATCCTCCTATTGTTTCGCCTCCTCGCTTTCCTCTCGTCCTGATCATCATCCCTCACTTTTGTCCCTGAGTCGACTCCTCATCCTCCCTCCTCATCTGTCTCCCTCCTCCTTCTCCTTCTCCGAAGGCTTTAGTTTGTTCGATTGTTCTCCGCCTCTTACTCGTTTCCCTCCTTGTTCCTCGCCGTCCTCTTCTCTCCCCCCCTATCCTTTATCATCCGTTCCCTGTCCCCCCACCTCCACCACCGCTTTCGCCCTTGTCTTGTTCTTCCTCTATGTTTGTTCCTCGTACGGCTGGCCGCCCCGCCTGCCTCGCCCTTTCGTTCTTCACTACTCCGTCGTCGCCTTTCCTTCCTGATCGTTTTCATGTTCCTATGCCTTCCTCTCTCTTCCTTTTCAAAATCCTCGTGTCTCTCCTTCTCTAAAATTATGCCTTTCATGTCTCCTTCTCCTCCTCTTCCATATGTTTACCTCCTCCTCCTCTTTCCTCCTTCGACTCCGCCTCGTCTGCGAGGTTGCTGCAGGTTTCCCGCGGCCAGACTGATACACAGCGACGCATTGTCCGCTTCAACCCCGCGTGTGCAATGTTGTACCAGGCTTTTGCCATGCTGCGCCTCGCCATGCCTGGGACGTCTTTCGAACCATCCTGTGGTGTTGGGTCCTCGTTTTGAAGAGAGCGCCCCGCGTTCACTCCCCCTCCCGCTGCCCCTCCCTCCTCCCTCTCCTCCTCCCTCCTCCCCTCCCTGCCTCTGCTTTCCGCATGTCCATCCCATGCCGGCACACCCCTTACGCGTTTCGTGTCTCACGGGGAGCTCCACCTAAGGCCCCAATGGGAAAGAGAAAGTTCGCGTGGCACCGCCGCCCCATTTCGGCACACCACTCGCACATTTCGTAGTCCCGCAGGGAGCCCCACCTAAGGCCCCAATGGGAAGGTTCGCATGTCACCACCTCCCCATTTCGGAACACCCCTCACACGCTTCGTGGCTCCATCGGGAGCTCCACAGAAGGCCCCAGTGGGAACGTCCGCGTGGCACCGCCGCCTTACCTCGGCACACACCTCACACGTTTCGTGGCCCCATAGGTGTGAATTCTAGCACTTCCCTCGCTCCTTCCGCCAGCTTCCGCTTGCCCCCGTATATTCTTGCGGTTGTTTGTTTTTTTACCTTGCTATCCATAACGTTTGTTGGTACGTAGGGCCTTTGGTAATTTGAGCTACGCACTCGCCAGCGGTGACAGCAATAACATTACCAGCGATAATGTTCCACATCGCAGTGGTAGCTTGGAGCGTGCTCAGTTGCCAGGCGCGCGGCGCCTTTCATATCCACGCCCTACGGGGCCCAGCTTTCGCCACGACGACGCCGTCAAGGAGGAGAGTTGAATCGAAGACCAGCGTCCTCCTGCTGCTGCTGCAGCTCGTGAGCGTCAGCGACGCCAAGCCCTACTGCCCCACTCCGCCAGCGTCAGCGACGCCAGCAACTCCTACCACCTGCCCCACATGAGCAGCGTCAGCGACGCAGAAAACTCCTACCTGCCCTACCTGAGCAGCGTCAGCGACGCAGCCAACTCCTGCTACTATCGCGCCGTCAGCGGCGTAGCCAAGCTCTTCTACTCCCACTACCTCTCGACCTGTAGCGAGGCCGCCACGTTCAGTTTCATATTCTCCCCGAGCACCAGTGACGCATTGAGTTCGATGTCTCGTCCTTCCAGAACACCGATTTCGCCCTCAACTTCAATTTCACGACCTCCCAGAACGCCAATTTCCCCAATCAATTCGACTTCGTTACAAAGGCGACGGACAGCGATATCGAGTCCGAAGCTTCCTTCTTGATAGTTTCATCTGCGTGCAGCAGTACAGTCGACAAGGTGACGGACAGCAATTTCCCGCAGCAGTCTCCCATGCCGAGCTGGAGCGGCGATCCAGCGAAGCGGCGGGATTACAAGCAAGAAGTCAAGCTCTGGAGGCTCAACGAGACCCTGGAGGTGAATCAACGCCCGGCATCATAGCTGGTGCTCAGGCTCACGGGCTCGGACGGACTCGCGCCAGTGATCAATCTGGGCGCGGACGGGCTCGTGTTTGACTCCATTTGTCGGCACCCATGGGAGGCCGATGCTTCTTACATCGCCATGGTCATGGAGCCATTGGTGATCTGAACGTGGCTGGGTCTGAAAATAAGTGATTGGCCATTGTGAATTTGGGCGTGAGTGAGTCTGAGCACTTGAGCATGAGAGTTGAACACCATGAAATTCACGGAGTCTGGTCATCAATGGGTTTCGACGCGATGGGATCTGAGTATGAGTGGGTCAGAGTACTACTGACTCCGAGTATGAGTGGGTATGCGTATGAGTGAATTTGAGCTGCTAGGTGCGAGTATGAGTGAGTCGGAGTGTGAGCGAGTCTGAGTATAAGCGTATATGGGTATGAGTGAGTCTGAAGTTGATTGGTTCTCAATGGGGCACGCGGGTCTGAGCATGCGCGACTATGAGTGAGTGCGTCCGCCTTACTGTATGAGCGGGGTTCAGTCTGGGTGAGGCTTAGTGTGAGGGTATAGTGAGTCGGAGCACGAGTAGTTGTGAATGTGATTGAGTCCGGATGTGTATTCGCCACCTTGTCAGGTGCACATTCTTCTCATCCATCGCATGCGCAGGAGCAAGTCTACGAGGTGCAGGTGATGTCGAGGAGGGACAGCAGGACCAGCGGGACCAGTATGAAACCGAGCAAGAGCATCGTGAACCGCGTTGGAATCGGTCATGGAGGGGAGATGGTGGGCGAGTGCGCGGGATGTCTGGTCGGGCGCACTTTATCATTCCCCACATCCTAAGATGTGGCTTTTGTTATCACTTGGACGCCTCCTACTTCTCCTCCTTCTCCTTCTCCTCCGTCTTCTCCTCCTCATACCCAGACTTATTCATACACAGACTTACTCACACTCAGATTTACTCATACCCAGATTTACTCAGACACAAAATTATTCATACGCATACCTACTCATACTCGGACCTACTCCTACTCAGCCTTACTCATGCTGAGACTCACGCAGGCCCCGTTCGCAGCCGTTTTGTGGGGATGTCTCAAGCGGTTTGCCTGTGTTCTGTCCCAACATCCTTCGCTTTCGGACCAGATTTGGAGGATGTCTCGAGCGAGGCGCTCATTTTCACGTCCCTGAGGGGAGCCGCCGAGGGGTATGACACGGTTCCGTTCGCGGCCGTTTTGTGGGGATGTCTCAAGCGGTTTGCCTGTGTTCTGTCCCAACATCCTTCGCTTTCGGAGCAGATTTGGAGGATGTCTCGAGCGAGGCGCTCATTTTCGCGTCCCTAAGGGGAGCCGCCGAGGGGTATGGCACGGTTCCGTTCGCGGCCGTTTTGTGGGGATGTCTCAAGCGGTTTGCTTGTGTTCTGTCCCAGCATCCTTCGCTTTCGGAGCACATTTGGAGGATGTCTCGAGCGAGGCGCTCATTTTCACGTCCCTAAGGGGAGCCGCCAAGGGGTATTGCACGGTCCCGCAAGCTTGAAACAGTCGCCACCTTCGAGGACTTCTGAGGGGGGCCAGCGCAGTGACGTCTTACGCACATACAGGTAAGACCTTTCCATCTTCGGGTAGTTGGGAAATGTGCGACCGCCGCCGCTCATGAATGTTGCGGGGGGTATCACGGTGACGCCCTACGCAAACTCAGATTGGACGTAACCATCTATGGGAGGCTGCGCAGTGTAGCAGAGTTGTCCTGTCGAGGGCTGTGTGCGACGCCGGGCGCAATGACGCGGAACACCTGGACGCCCTGTGGCTGCATCTCTATGTGCTGTTTTCCAGCGTTTAACGGTCAATTGTGTTTTGGTGTTGCGGGTCCGTGGGTTACACGTCGTTCCCCGCGAACCCCCCGCGGACACGGCGGCGTTCTTGCGAGCATGGAGGAGCACCCGAGCCGAACACTTTCGGGACGAGGCCCAGCAGGTGGCAGCTCAGCTCGGCTGCGTCACCGACTAGAACTGCCCATCCAGGATTCAAGAGCGAGGCGGCGTCGGGGGCGCTGCTGTTCACCAGAGATATTTCAGACGTTTTTCTTCTCCTCCCTCCTCATTGTTCCTTTTTCGTCGTTGCATCACCGGCCCCCCCTTCATCTTCCGCCGCCGATTCCTCCCGGCTCTTTCCTTTTGGGGCCTGGGGCTCCAGCGACACTTAATGTGAGCGTGGAACCCCTCAGGGTTCTGTTTCAATTTGATGAAGCACGTGCGTTGGTGCGACGCGCCCGTCACCCCCCGAAATAAATACTCAAAGAAGTACAAATGTACGTGTGTGTCGTGGTTGCTGTTTCCAATGTTTCTTCCTCCGTCCTTATTTTCCTTTCCCTTAGCAACCGTCTTCCCCGCTCTCAACGATATCTTCCTCGTGTTTCCTCGCCCTCTCCTCCGCCCCTGTCCTCCTCCACCGCCTTCCTCATCCCGCTTCTCACCGTCAACCGCCCTCCCCGCCTTCCCCCTTGCCCCCCCCATCTCCATCGCAGTTGTTCGTCATCTCGCGCTCTACCGAAGTCATCGCATCGCCCTATTTTGGCGGAACATCTGGCGAACAAAACAGGTTTCGCCAGAATCCGCACGCAAAGTTGATGGCAAAATGCCCGTGTGATTTGTTGTTCGACAAGGACCAGGGTCACATTCAGGGTATGATTGCAGCCGAAGGAAGGGCAGGAGGATGTTTGTACATAATCCAGTTTATGGATAAGGAGGGCTTCGCAAGACGGACGTCGAGGTGAGGAGGGGAACGCGGGGAGATGCATTGTGATGGGGCGGAATCACAGGTCCTGTTGGCGCCTTGGAGTTGGATGGCGACTACCAAAAGGACCCTGCCTCCGCCGCCGCCCTCCACCACTTGCCCAGTCGTCTTCCTGTTGATTTGGTTTGGGGGGCACAGCTTCGCATATGACTTCTTCCAATCTGGACTTCCTGGGAAGCCTTGAAGGCTTGACGCTTTCTTCTGAGATTGCACGCGTTCACTCGGGTTTGGCTGGCCGCGGGTGCTCATTTGCTTCGAAACTCTTGCTTCACCCTCTCGGAGTCCACACGGGGCGCCACTCGAATGATATGTACGCGATCGAACTTGGGACACTGGGTACGGCCGTGCTTGGGACGTCACGGGCCTGGGTCGCTCACGACTGCGAGGTAACTGCGTTTTGCGAGTTAAGGCCAGGGCCGTTGAGCCGGCCATCTCCAGGGGGCGTCGCGCCTCGTGTGGCGCGATGCGCGGAGTTGGGCAACGCTCGGATAGCCAGAGGTGGTCCTTGATAAGGAAGCGGCGGGCACGTTGCAAGCACAAACCAGCGGCCGCCCTCGCCCCCCGGGAGGGCCCGCCGCCCGTCCCGGAAGAGGCACACACACACAGCTTGGGAATGAAAATGGGGACTTTTCTGAGCTCAGGAGGGGCGATGTTTTTCGGACCGCTCGTGGCCAAGGCTCGTCGTGGTCAGGAGAGCCCTCTCGTCCCTTGTATAGTGCCCCGTGGAACACGACGACTGCAGATGGAGACGCAATGCCGGTTTCGATCCTCGCGGCGCTCGATGGGTAGGAGGCCCCAGACATCCTTGACGGCGCTCAGGCGGTCTCGCTGCAGGCGGATTCCTGGGACCCCAGGCGCGTCTTTCAAAACGGCCCGTATTCAGATCTGGGCGGCGCACAGAACAGTGCGACGGCCAGATTTGGCTGGTGGGGACGAAGAACCTAATCGACATAACCATAATCACAGACCGTGGCTGACATCTGACAGATCATATGTATGTACGTGTTTCTTCATACTCGGAGGTCGTGTCCCAGCCAGGGAATTGTCAAACTTGACTCGCAAGGGGTCGCGAGCCCCAGGGGCCCACGCAGCAAACAAAGACGACGTTGGAAAAAGGGTGGCATGAGATACCAGCCCAGGAGAAGGGATCGAAGGGTGCCAGGGCCAGCGTCTCGAACACATCAAGTCGTCAGAGGTCAGACTTCCCGTGCCTCCTCGCCACATCTCTCCAATGTTCCCGCCTTGGTCTTCTGTCCCCGTCCCGCCCACCAAACGCCAAGCCACGGGCGAAAATCAGAGATACGCCCTCTGAGGCGCAATGCCATCTTCGACCCATGGTTTGGATGAAAAACGGATGGCGACAAATATTTGGTTTGTTCCCAACCATCATGTGGTGTTGGGTCCTCGTTTGGAAGAGACAGCGCCCCGCGTGCCACTCCTCTCTTCACCTTCCTTCTCCTCCCTCCTCCCGCCCCCCGCCTCACTTTGGCAAACCCCTCACACGCTTCGTGGCCCCATAGGGAGCTCCACGGAAGGTCTCACATGCGCAGCACGCATGCGTCGCCCCCACCCAGTACAGCGTTTTGTGGCCTTCTAATATGCTCCACCGAAGGTCCCAGTGTCGCAGCCCACATGCGCCTCTCCCACCTAGTACAACGCTTCGTGGTCCCGTCGCTTCGTGGCCCCGAAGAGAGCTCCAACTAAGGTCCCAGTGGCGCAGCCCGCATGCGCCCCCCCCACCCAGTAACCGTGTGTTCGCGATATTAACTCCATGGGAATAATTAAGCTCGGGGTCCAGGCGGGGGATTTTGACATACTCGTGACGATGTTGACGATACTGATAATTGACATGGTATTGACCGATCATAAGAATACTTTGACAAACCCATCGGGATCTTTTCGGGAAATCCATGGGGGTCTTTCGATCCAGAATATACCGTCGCAAATTCATAAGAATCCGGGAGCAAGCTATTGGATTCCTTTGGGGAAACCAGGACATTCTTTAGGACAGCCATCGGGATCCAGTGGAAGTCCTTCGGCCTCCGTAGGATACCCGTAAGAATTCTAAGAACGTCGACTGGATTATTTAATCGCTTCGCTCATTCCGCCAGCCCGTATTGTGCCCTCGCTGGCGTTTGGGCTTTGGGGTGTCTTTTGGGGTCCTCGTTGGGGGTTTCTCGGGGGCCTCTTGGGTTTCTGTTGAAGTATATTTGGGCTTTCTTCGGGTTCCTTTGGGAGCATTTGGAGAATCTTGGGGCTTCTGGGAGCCGCTTGGGAGCCGCTTGGGAGCTTCTTGGCGGCCTCGTGATTGCCTTTGGGGGGCCTCCTGGGGCTTCAAAGGGCCCTCTAGGGCCGTCTTGGAGGCCTCTTGGGCCGTCTTGGAACCCTCTTGGGCAGTTTTGGGCCCTGTCGGAGGCCTCTCGGGCCTCGTAGGGCGATCTTGGGGGCCTCTTGGGCCGTCTTGGGGCGTCGCGATGCCGAAAAGGTGGGGACGGCAACATCGACCCAAAAAGGACAAGCAAGGCATTTCGCCTCTTGGGGTCCTCTTGTGAGTTCTCTTGCAAGCCTCGCGGAGCGTCTGGTGGCTATCTTACCTCGAGGGCCTTTTTGGGGCCTCCTGGGGCGTCAAAGGGGCCTCTTGGCGCCTCCCGGGGGCTTCTTAGGGCCGAGGGCTCGAAATGTTGCTTCGTGTTCCCCCTCTTGGGCTTCGCTTAGGGCGTTCTTGGGGCCCTCGTGGGCCGTCTTGGAGGCCTTTTTGGCCGTCTTGGAACCCTCTTGGGCCGTCTTAGGGCCCTGTCGGAGGCCTCTCGGACCTTGTAGGGTGATCTTGGGGGCCTCTTGGGCCGTCTTGGGGCGTCGCGATGCCGAAAAGGTGGAGACGGCAGAATCTACCCAAAACCTAAGGAACAGCAGCGAATTGTGCCTCTTGGGGCCCTCTTGGGGGTGCTCTTGAGAGCCTCGTGTGGCGTCTGGGGGATATCTCGAGGGTCTTTTGGGAGCCTCCTGGGGCTTCAAAGGGGCCTCTTGGGGCCTCCTGGGGGCTTCTTAGGGCCGAGGGCTCGAAATATTGTTTCGTGCTCCCCCTCTGAGCTGCGGGGGGGCGCGGGCGTTTGCCGCCGCGCAGGGGCCAGGGGCAATTTAGAAATGCCCAGGGAAATGGAGGGCGGCAGGTAAAGGAAGAACGAGGGGTGGGGAGGGCAGAACAGCGGGCGGGAATGGGGAACATAGTGACCGGGCGATATGCGCTGATAGGGGGGGCGACGCGGGCGGAGGCCGCAGTTGGAATTCTTTCGGATCGCCCTGGGGCGTTAGAACACCTCCGCCCCCAGGCCGGCAGGGGGCGCAGCGGCCCTTGCCTTCCTGACTCTGCGGGCGGGGCGCGACGACGCACCCGACCTGTACCCCGCCCCTTTCTCCAGGTGCCAGTCTGCTCGTGCTCGCCCCGCGCGGGGCATCCAGCGCGTTCAGAACTACACTTAGCCAGGCACTAGGTGCAGTCCTGCACGCGCTGGTTTCGCCGGAGACATCCTTGCAACACGAAGCACTTATAGAGCCGCACCTAGCCAGCGGGGCGGGGTGCATGTCGGGCGCCGCCGCTCGCGCTCCCAACGCGCGCCGCTCCCCGGCCGCTAAGTGCCGTTCAGTGCGTGCCCCTTTTTCGCGAGGCATCGGCTGCCCGCGCCGCCCATCGCCAAGGCCCCGCCCCCTGGGCCGCTTCCCACCGACATCCCGCATCCCCTGGTTCAGCGAATCCAGCCATATGCCTGGGGGCCTCGACCTCGCGCGGCCCGCTTCCCTCCCCCGCCTGCGCCCCAGCGGCAACTTCGCGATCTGATCCCCCGCGCTTTCGTGTTCTTCTTCGTGCCGGATCCCCCATCCGAGGGTGAAACGCTCGTTCGCGCTGTGATTTGTCTTGCGGCTGCCGCCGAGCCTCGCTGTGAAACATGGCGATCGCTTCCACGCTTGGCACGCGACGTCGTCGGCGCGACCGTCGCCTTCATTCGTGGGTCGCGAGGCGGCGCCCGTCCAACCAGACCGACCGACGCGCCAAATCTAATTATGATTGCCACCCCTGGTCCCCGCAACAAAGTGCAGTTTTGCCTTGCGTAGTTGTAGATGCGTTCGAAAAAATGATTCGGGGCCCTGGGGACATCCATGGGACTCCTTCGGACATCCACGAGGTCCCTGAGAAAGTCCTTATTTTGTGTTGTTGCAGAGCCCCACTCCAACTGGCACTGCGCGAGACGCCGCAGCCCCTCGCGCGACCCCAGCAGGAGCGCCCCCTGCATCAACAAATGCGGAAAGGGCGGGCGCACAGGGCAGGTTGGCCTAGCCGCGTCAGCGCCGCCAGCCGCGCGCGCGCAAGCACCGCCGCTTCGCCGGCCCCGCGCGCAGACGCCGACCTCCGCCGCCGCGCGGACCGCCTGCCGGCGCCCCATGCCAGCGCGCCCGAGCCGCAGGGCCTCTGCCTTACGGGCGCAGCCGCGCGCGGCGGGCATCTGCTCTGGCAGCTGTCGCTGCCCAGCGCGCATGAGCTCTGCTGGCCCGCGCGCCCCCGCAGCCGCGACTTGCCCTCCCGGGGCCCACGCGGCCCGCGGCCCCGCCGCCGCCGCGCCGGCCGCGGCCGCCGGCCGCCCTGCCTTGCGGCCCCGAAGGGGCCGAGCGGGGAGGGCTGCAGGGCGCCGCTTGAGGCTGCCACGGAGAAGCCGCGTCGCTGGGCCCACCAGGGCCCCCTCGCAATCGGGCCTTTTTCTCGAGTCAAAAAATCCATAGCATTCCCCAGGACATCCGTCGAATTACTTCGGGAATCCATGGGGTTCCTTGCGACGTCCGCAGGGTTCTAGTAGAAGCCTTTAGGCATCGTGTGACAATCCATAGGGTTCCTTTGGGAAACGAAAGGATTCCGCGTGAAATCTGCAAGAGCTCTTCGGGCGTCCATCGGATTTCTGAAGCAGTCCATCGGATTTGTTTCCATAGAAGATTCCGGAAGGAATGTGAAGGAATCCATCGGATTCCAAAGGAAATCCTTGGGACGCCCTAGGACATCCATTGGAATCCAAAGGAAA